CGTTTCGAAGAGCTTGGTCGGCTCTCCACTGCCAAAGCGTAAATGCACTTAATCGACCAGAAATCCCAAGTGGCGTGTCACGTTGGTCGGTCTCGTGTCGATCGATTTTCCTCTCCTCTCGCTGCCTCGGCCTCTCGGGGGATGGTTGACTGGCGTTTTGTCTGCGTGCGTTGTGTCACCACTTCGTCGGGGGGGGGAGAGGTGACTGAACCAGTGTCGGGTAGTCGGTCTGTCGGTTCTTGTTCTTCTTAATGTGGAACATTAGTATGCAGACAGATGCGATGATATTCTGATGGACACTGCGCTGTCTTAAAGACCTCGTAGCTAGAAACATTTTTAAGCCGAAGGACGCCTTTCTTCCAGTGTAAAAAATTAGATTTTTGTTCATGTGTTCTGCAAAATATCTTTAAATTTATGGGAGCACTGAAAATCGATGGAAAAATGCGTACTGCCTAAGCAGCCATTTTTACTGAGTGAGTTTTTTGCATGCGGCCAAAAAAGAGGTGTATTCAAATACCAATACTCTAGTCTGTCGGAAATATTAAGGAATTATGCAACAGGATAATCAATACTACAGCCACATATAGGTAATCCTCTAATCGAAAACGCATTTCAGAATCTCGGTTGACGTTTCATGAGATCGGTCACTGACTGTAGTACTTCACCGGTAATTGCAAACGTTGGCAAAAATCACTGTCATTCTAAAGTGTGAGAGACTGATGGCCTTAGGTCCTCGCATATGACCGCAAAGGTCAGTGCGGTGGCACTATGCGTAGAAACGATGTGAGCTCAAGTGATGGGTAGCGTTTTAGCGATTTTTGCTCATGACTGAATAGATCCATGCGCTAGCTGGACGTGTGGATGCGCTGTGAGTAAAAAAGGCCTGGCTGACAGGCATTGGCGTGGGTTCTACAACCTTATTCTCCAGTTCTGCAACGACAGGTTCGCAGGTAGTCGATGCGACAGATATGTGATTGAAATTTTTGGTTGCAAAGTAAACAAATTGGCGCTATGTATACAGTACTGGCAGTGGTAGTGGGTGTACTCGAAGGCAAAATCTTTACCCAAGAGTTGCTGAGTCGTCGGAACCTCTGTTCCGAAGAAAACTGAGGTTGAGGTGAAAGGAATGGGTCGCAGACACCGAGACCTTGGAAAGTACCGGTAGTACGTAAGTCATACTAGAGCAGATGTGATCGCGATGGGGAGGCCACAGTGTGAGGATGATTGACAAGCGCCAACCCGAGCCGCTGCTCTACAAAGTCGATACGGGTGCTCGCAGGAATGGTTGACAAAAATGGCTATGCCGGGGACACCAGGACGACATCACTCATAACCTGCAACCCAGGCCAGGGGCTTCGTGCACTATCCGCAAGCGTCGTTCACTGCCGTAAAGAATGGAGAAGCCATTTTCGAGGCTATCCGAATATCAGAATCAAAGGCAAGTGGAGAACCTTACGACCTCACTTGCTGCTGATCAATGTTACAGACATCTAGCCCCAGCCAACATGCCCATATTATCAACTGGCATACGGAACATGGACTGGACTTGTCCGACACTTCTGGATCCAACATCCTAACAGGCCGCTCGATTCAGCTTCAGTTAAACAAGATATTACCATCACCGGAAACAACATGAAAATCACCCCTTCTGTGTAGTGATGTGATTTGCAATGATATTTACCATAGCTGCAGCTTAATCGACAATTGGTACAGTGTGGTGCATGAGAATCGTCTTCGGAGTGTTCAAGATTAGGCAGAAGTCGGTGCATCTGGAGACGAATAGGTCCGACCATCGGTTGTGCTTAATGCATTTGTCGGCCATCTGCCCAATTGGTGAGGTTGATGATCCGTCGGCACTCTCGATAGGCCCTCGTAGGTATTCTGAGGAACATGAGACTGAAGAGGATTAGGAAGAAGTAACATCTCAACTCTACCCCTTTTGTCATCACTAAGGTCTTGGATGTGGATTCGCTGTCAGCATGCGTCTCATCATGCTACTATGAAGTTGTCTGGCTATCATTTTGACTTACCTGAGTCATATAAATTTGCCCATTAGCGTTCATAGACCTCCCCTGTTCTCGGTGTGGGGGGCTTTGATGAGATCCATGAATATGCCATAGAGACTGGTCCTCATTTTTCAACATTTCTCCTGCAGTTTCCGGATTGTGAAGATCATGTCAGTGGTTCCACGTTTTGTTGATAATATCCGCATCGATGTTCGGAGGAATTCCTCGCTCCAGGTGTAAACTCAGACAACTGATCATTACTCAAGCAAAGATTGTCAACAGTTTTTGAAAGGGCAACTTCCCGCAATACCACAGATTTGTAGGTATCCATTGTGTCTTGTGGTAGTTGTTCTTGTTGCCACATCTGGAACAGTACGGTAAGTCTTTCAATAGATCATGGGTCGCCATATTTGTAGAGTGCAGCTGGAATTGGGTTTGCATCAAAGGATTTTCCGCTGACTATCTGCCATACTGTTTTGGCTACTATTATATGAATGTATGTCCCAGAGTGATTTGGGCACTTGCGACCAGGGCAACTTTCGCTCCAAGGGTACAGTGATGACATGCGCTGGAGTTCGGTTTTTAGAAATGTCTACCCTCCTCTAACAACACGCCAAAATCAAGACGAGTGTAAATGCCCGTTTTCGTAGTAGCTGACAATGCTAAAGCCAAGTCTGCGCACACCACATATGCTGGACAGTTCGGCCGTCGCGAGCATCGACGTCTCCCGGGTGTTCCACGGAATGGGTGCAGCGCCAGCGACGTGTGCGTGAGGCAGATTGGCGCATAATCTGCCGCATTCTCTCCCTCCCACCCTCTTTATTCTGCCGCCAGGGCGACCAGGGGTGGATGTGGGCCCGTCTATGCGTGCCACCTGCGCGGCGTGGTCCAGGCTACATTGGGAATGTCATAGAGGTCACGTTGACTAGGAACCATTGCGGCCTGAATCAGTTTTCCAGTAAATACAAAATACTTACTGTTAGAAGACAGACGGGATAGCAGGGGACAGCTTTACTGCAGCAATCACTGTGCGTACATAAACCTTTCTGCCCTTGTCTGATTTGCGTGTTCCTTCTGGTAAGGCTCTGAGCGCGTGGATAGGCAGGCCCTCACGCGTTGTCGACCCCTAAGGTCGCGCATGACCCGGCGGCACGCTGACTGTTTACTCATGCGCGGGCTTGCTAGGCGAGACTGATCTGTGGGTGCGCCATGTTTTGGGCCGTCCTCACACTTGGCATGAGGACCGATATATTTTTTTCAGTTGGCAACCTCCCAGGCCACGAGACTGGGATGGATTAAAACGTGTCAGATTGATTCTAGTGAGGAATGCGCCAATTTACCATGAGAACGGATTCCTCCGTGTCAGCCTCGCTCCCTCTCTTTCCTCTCCTCTGCCTGAGCCCGTCAACCAAAGGAGGACTGGATTGGGTAAATTGGCTAACGCGGAACGAAGGCCTAATTCAACTACACGCCACACTGGGATGTTCTCTTCTCCGGAAACGTTAACGAGGACTGGAGTTTATTTAAGGGTTGGTTATTGCATCTAATGAAGCGCCACTGTCCCTTATCAAAGCCTAGGTCATTCAACCGCCCTCAGTGGCTAACAGAAGAACTAAAAAAGGAGATCAATAAGAAAGGAAGATTATGGAAGAAGTTTCGGGAAAACAACAACATTGTAGCGTTCACAGAATATAAAGTTCAAAGAAATAAGGTGAAAAGCCTGATTTTCAAGAGGCGACGGGATTTTGAGAATCATTTGCTTCATCGAGCCGAAATTGCTCTACAGCTATTTGCGGAGGAGCACACGTAACAGGAATCCCATTCCTGTCATGAGGAATGATGACGGTTCGGAGATATCGGACAGTAAAAATAAAGCTGAGCATTTTTCCCAATTTTCTCAATCCGTTTTCACAAGAGAAGCAGACTTTATTCCCACTAGTTCCGAGAACATGGGAGATCCCACTATCGAAGATATCGTGTTTCGAGAATCAACGATTTTGGCAGAACTAAAAAGCTTGAAGGAATGTAAATCTCCCGATCCGGACGAGATCTCAGCAAAGCTGCTTTTCGAGCTTGCCCGAGAGCTGGCCAAACCACTATCCTTTCTGTGCCAGGAATCGTTCGATGCTGGAATCCTTCCCACAGACTGGAAGACGGCCCACATTACACCCCTTTACAAAAGCGGTAGTCGTGCTCTTGCAACGAACTACAGACCCGTCAGTCTGACATCAATCTGCTGCAAAGTGATGGAGAAAATCATCAAAAAGGAGTTGATGACTTATCTGGAAAGTCACAATATCTTGTCCAATGCACAATATGGTTTCCGTAGGGGAAGATCATGTGTAACGAACTTGCTATATACAATGCACAGTTGGACAAGAGTACTGGACGCAAAACACACTGTGCACGTGGTCTATATTGATTTCCGGAAGGCGTTCGACAGTGTCCCGCACCAGAGTCTCCTGCACAAGTTGAGAATAATGGGCATCGGCGGCAAACTTCTCAAATGGATCGAGAACTGTCTCGTCGACCGTTCCCAAATTGTCTGCGTATAAATACAGCAATCAAGGCGGACATTCATAGGGAGTGGAGTCCCACAAGGCTCGGTGCTCGGACCAACCCTCTTTCTCTTGTTCATCAATGATTGTGTAGATGGGTTAGACTGTGATAGTGCCATGTTTGCGGATGACATAAAAATCTGGAAAGTTATCGAGAATGCTGCCGATGAGACCAACTTCCAAGAAAATCTTTGTCGATTGGACGAGTGGTCCCGCAGATGGTTCTTGTCCTTCAATTTGAACAAATGTACCATACTGCGCCTCGGAAATCAGACCCCTAGTACGCGGCAATACCGTCTGAACGGAATACCACTTCGAGAAGCAGAAACGCAGAAAGATCTCGGAGTCTGGGTTGCAGACAGCCTACAGCCTTCTACACAATGTTGTAAGGCGGCCAAGGCCGCAACGTCAATGCTATATGCCATCAAGCGGGCAT